ATGGTTTATGTATAAGAAATTACTTTATAGTAATTTATATTCGTATCAAAGTTAAAGCTAAGCTTGAATATATAAGGGGGATCTTTAAACTATATACAAAAATGTTGTTTATAGTAAAGTACTTAATCATTTGTTGAATTCGATACTGGGTTACCAACCCAGAATAATCCCAAATGTGTAAGATTTTTAGGGGAAAATACTCGCCGTTTTGTTGAACAAAATCGATAAAAAATGAAAATGAAAAAATTCATCTGGGAGAATGTTTTCGTCTGGATGTTCAACATTCTATAAATAGAAACAAACAATAATATAAATATGCAAATCATTTTATTCCGTTTCAGTGGTATAAAAATAATCATTTGCGTATAAAATTAAATAACCTGAATTCGATTCACAATCATGGAGTAGTAAATGTACACTCCTGAGAAGCTTCGTGATAATACGAAATGGTTGTCCAGTTATCCTAGGCTTTTAATAATGGTCTAGCTAGAACTAATCACGTATTGAACAGTTTTTAAACTTCATATTTTTCCTTGAAAACACGAAGTTCACCGGATTAATATATTATTAAAGAAATATGGAACTTTATACTTTGTTGGAGATTATACGCTAACAAGTAATATACGGGAATAATAGAAAATGTTTACTTTTAAATTTTTCATAACCAATTTATCAGTGATAATTACAATGAGACAAAGCAAATGAAACTTCGAAAAATTATATAATAATGATCATAACACAGATAATAGTAACAATGTTATTTTGAACTAGTTTGTATGAAAAACATGTTTAGAACAACCTCGAACTGATTGGTATTTTTTGGTTCAATTTAGTGATTCAATGATTCAATTGTATGCTTGATCAAATATTTTTCATTATACAAGACATCAGACCATAGATGAGATGTTTTATATTCATCTAATTATTGATTTTTTACTCCATATAAGTTTGTTGACAAAATAAAACGTTCTTCGACTTGAAAATGTAGTTTAGTTCTATTAAATGTAGATTCATATTACAAATATATTTTTGTATTTATGTGTAAAGTGTATAGAAAAAAGCAAGTGGTAATTGAGGTACCTTGATGTCAAGATGGTATTACTACTTAACCTTTCATTCAAACTGCACAATTTAGTTGGTATTCATAAAAATATGATTGTATGGTTATCCTAACAAAATGGTCACTTGTGAAATGCAAATGAAAAATACGTAACTATAAAACAAGTTTTCTAGAAAATTTTATTTTCACAAAAATTATTTATGTATTGTGTACTTATTTAAAAACAATTTCATAAGGATATTGTAGTGAACGAGAATACGAGTGGGGACAATTGAATTTTATTTGAACACAAAATTACAGAATCTCATAGTAGAATCTGAGAATCATATAGGAAATACTTCATTTACAAAATGTCAATCAATCGTCTCAGAGTTTATTGTTCCTTCATTTTCAAAACAATCATTCTCTATTCTCATTCACTTTTCTTTGATCTTCTTAACCTTCTGCCTCCAGGCATTTTATTTTCGACTAATGATGCATACTATATATCTGTCGACATCAGTAGCACACACTAAAATATCATGAATTGATGTAGAATGTCTAAAATGACTGTGTTTACTATATCAGTACTGTCATTTTCAGTAGACAGTTCAAATAAATTAGACATCGATGATGTAATCAGATGATTTTAAATAAAATCACATAATTAATTATTAGGATATCTGATATATTTGTGTATTATTATTATTGTTTGTTTATTTGTAAGGTTTTCAAATATTTTCGACTTACTATCTTTACAGTTGTCCTTGTTTTGAAAATAATAACTTTATACTAGAAATAATTGTTAGTTAGCTAACATTTACTTATTTATTTATTGTTAGGATTATTTAATATTATATTTTTAGTACAATATAGAATTCTCAGCACAAAGTATTTCAGTGAATTTCTGTTTCTTAATTTTTGATCGATCATGACGATAAATATTGAGTAATCGCTAGTTACATATTACCATTTGATAAGTTAACATCCGAATATTGTTCATTTTTTTCAATGCATATTGCCAGCCATCATAATATCTTCGATTGTACATTTTTGTAATTTGTGCAGTGAAAGGTTGTAAATTTTTCATAAACGCACCTGAATAGTCTATGCAATTAACTGATGTGAGGAAGTGTATTATAAGTTATTTCCGAAAATTTATCAAAATACAACTGAACTATTAGAATGTGATTTTATAATTAATTCTTATGAGTCAATTGAAGCTAGACCACCATGGAAAACCTAGAAGCACTGAACGAACGTTTCGTCTTATTGTGGGACTCCTCAGCAGTGCACATCTACGATCCCGCCTTCAAGATTCGAACCCTGGACCTATCAGTCTCACTTGCGAGCATCTAACCTCATGGTCTTAACCATTGGAATTACTATAATATCCGCGAAATCCTTCTGAAATTAATTCTTAGTTTACTTGAATGTGATATTTTTTTCTTAGGTTTTTTTGAATTTTAGATAATAAATATTTTAATTTAGTCCTATTAAGATGGTGATTATAATCATCGAATATCATATGTAACTAAATGAGAGAATAACAGATCTATTTGAACTTAAATGTATTTTTCATCACATATTTTTAATTGCTTTAATTTTATTGAATACTATGAAATATTACGTAACTGTATTGTCGAAATATGGTACTCTTCAGTAGTATACAGATATCAAATAATTCAAGGTTATAATAACAGTAGTCATGTCTTATATTGATCATGATACTTTCAAGCTCTTGAGTCAAGGAACCTTGTTTTAGTCAAATTATTACAGTAGTAAAATAGATCTTTTATGTAAAGATCGACAAATTTCTCAACTTCGACATTCATTGATCGATATGTGAATGATATATTTTGAAATTTTATTGGTACGAAATCAAATTATTAATAATTTTAAAAAACATTCAGTAGTATGTATTGTTTATGAGTAATCTCCAACAAAATACGCTTCCTTTACGAGTTCATTATATTTCTGATTTATTGTTTAGTGATGTTTGAAATTTTACACTTTTCCTTTCCTTCAACTAATTGACACTTTTTTCTTGTGATAAAGTTGTTTTAAATAAATTTTATTCACAATACCCTTTATGTCAACTAATCTTATATGATCACATTAGATTATGATGTTTTATTTGTTATGTTTAATAGGAATTAAAAGTAATACAATCATAAACAAAAATGGATAATGGATAGCATTGAAATCCAAGAAGCGCGTTTCGTCCTATTTGTAAATTGAGGCAATATCGAGGCAATACACACAGTATGTACAAATGACAATAAGAGACTATTCAATTGCAGTTCTAAACATAAATGGGAAGATTCAAGTAAAAAATTACCAAGGAAATAAATGATTATTTTATTTTGTGAACTTATTATCATTTCAGAATAACTTTCATATAGACATTAATTTTACTACATTGAGAAGAAATATTTCTAATGTTTTAATTACAGTTGGATAGTAGTAGCAGTCGAGTCAAAGACTCATATTTTGTTCTACATGGATTCCAATATTAATATTGACACATCTACTCGAACCCAGTATCTTTCACTTCAAACTCTAATATAGAGGAAATCTACACAAAATACATGTATACCGAAAGAGATCGATTATTCATTCCCGTTAGCAACATCACCTGGACTAGAATAACACTTGAAAATTAAATTAGAAACATTTCCTCTTGTTGTTTTTGATAAAGAAATATATCTTGATGAAGAGTAATAAACAAGATTTGTTCACACACCGTATTAACTAAACACTCAAATAAATAACTAAGGAAGAAAAATAAGTATTTCTACAACAATTCAGGATTTCATTACCTACAATCCTCTTAATTCTTATAAAAAATCTGATCTCAATTACATTATTTAAATTAATAAAAAAAAAAAATAATACTTTCAGTTTTGTTGTCGTTTACATTTATAATTGACAATCAGATAAAGTGGTATGGTTGTAGATAATAGTTTTTAAAAGTGCAGAGTTAGAAGCATAACACTGAATGCTTAACACTCAAAAGCGTCACAAACTACTGAGTGATTTTGTAACTTTTTATCATGGTATATACTAAATATTATTTTGATGACAAACTAAGAAGTAGTTCATAGTTTTAAATATGTCTCTGATGTCTACAATGTCAGTTGCACATCAGTGGATTTTAGCTCAGTTATCTCAATCAGTCAGTAACAATGTAGAACTTCATATGTACGTACATCAGTCCGAGTTGTCATATCACGTTAGCACGGAGGTGCAGCTGTCGATTTAAATCCCGTAGTGGTAGAGGTAGTAAGTGTATAAACAGTAATCGGAAAGATCAGGGTTTGAAGATGTTGTTCAACGAGTATAATCCAGTGAAACAAATTTGAAAACAAAATAAAGGACATGAAGAATACAGAAGAGTAGAATTTGAGATAACACAAAGATTGGATGTACCTGCGCCATCGCAAACGATTTCGAGCCATGTCATTCAAGATCTCTACACATCGGTTGTTATCGTCTCGCGGACTCCAACCAGGTAGTCTACACCTACCAACATGGCTGAGTCCACTTGTCAGTGACTTCATGGATTTGTGCCATGTTTTGGTCTGGCCGTCCCTAGCTTTCTTCCAACCTACTCCTACACCATAAAACATCGCTCGTCGGGGCAGTCGGTGGTTACTCGATGATCCCAGGATATACGAGCAATGTTTCGAAGACATCTATGATCTAATACTCGTAACCTAGGAATATCCTCTACTCTTACCGGCCATGTTATCTAGAAGTTAAATGTTCATAAACCAAACCAAATATCTTAGGTTCAATTCCGAGTTACACATTCATAAAGGTAAACTTCTAAAAAATTCCACATTAAGACTAAACAGTTTTTTAATACTAACAGATTTTAATGATTATATAACATAAATCCATTCATGATTTCAATTTTTTTTTAAATCAATAATATTATTATTATTAAAAATCTTACCTATCCGATGAAATTGCAATAAATGTAAATACACTAATAGCTATATTAAATGATGTAAAAAATTGTGAAAATTTACAATAAGCAATACCAAATATCCAATCATTTTGTAATACATAATAAACATTTGGTATGATTTGAAATATTGTTAATAAATCAGCTGCTGATAAATTAAATAAAAAACAATTAGTTACTGTACGCATTCTACGATTATTTAATATAATCCACATAACTAATATATTACCAAATATTGAAAATATAACAATTAATGTAAACATAAATGTAATTATAATACATGATGTTATATTAAATACATTATCTATATTTGTATCTATATGAGTATTATCCGATAGTGTAACTATAGACGATGTTGATAATGATGATGATGATGATGATGATGATTCAATGAATTTAGTTGAATTAATATTATCTAATGTAATATTCATTATTTGAAATGGTTAACATGGAAACTATGAAATTTTTATAATGTTTAGAAGAAATTTTATTAAAAGTTTTTTTTCTAAATAATAATTTATTAAATATAATAGGATTAAATAAGAAAAAGAATTATTTGATTGGTTGATTAGGATTTGATTTGTTCTGAATGGTTAGTTTAAATTATTTGTATATTGTATTCATTTGATATTATTTTATTTGAATCTTCTCATTGATGTTTAAGATTAATAATTGAACAATCTCTTATTGAGATATGTGTATACTATGCAAATTACTTCAAAATTGTTTTCAATAACAAGTATAATAAGTAAAGATGAATGTTGGCTAATAGTGAAATTCACAACGTGTATTTCATCCTATTTGAGACTCGTCAACTGGATGTACTTAAATTACAGATTTGATGTGGATAATGTCATGGTGTTTGAAAATAAAGTTACTGGGTTTAAGTTCAGGAGTGAATATCAATTTTACGATGCAGATACTTTCAATTGACGAGTCCTTAACTGGACGGAACGTGAATCCTATACTACACTGCTAGCTACCATCCATCTTTATTTGCATGAAGTTTTTCTGTATATGTACCATTAGTGATTATGTATTTGTACACATCAATCATAGACAAAATACTGATGTAATAAGTATTGATGGCATTTTAGTGTTGGTTTAAAAATAAATTCATCACTAATAGTATATTTTTGTCATTTGATTTAGATAGACATGTATTCATAGGATTTGCATAAATGATCATAAAATTGTCTAACTATATTACTCTTTCGTTGTTTAGTTATTATTTTTAAATTTTTAAGTGTATTCTTAATTTTACAAGTATTACTTTGCTATGTAAACAGATTAAAGTAGTGTGTAACACCAAGTGATAGTGGAATGCATGACGACTGAAGGTTAGGAAAATCTAAGAGAATAGAACGAGAACAGAGAATGATTGCTGTAGAAATGAAGTAGCAATAAAGTTTGAGACGATAAAATGGGACTATTCATTCGAAACATAACAAAAGTAATGTTTAAATAAAAACGAATTCATACATTAAGACAGAGTATATTACATTGTTATGCCAGAGTAATTATTGATCTTATTCTGATCTCGATTTCAAAATTTCTCAGATGAAGTTAATCAGAATGACATCAATATAAGTAAGAATTATATAAACATAATTAATAGTCACTTCCAAGAAGACGTGTACATAGTAAGATGGTACCTTGCCTAAACCATTTTCATCTCAGTTGCAAATCAAAGTCTGTTTATTCATAATCTGAGACTGTAAGATGTAAGATTCTAGAATAGACAGTAATATATCTCTATTTGTGCATAACCGGTGCAGAGCTGTTATTGATCACCATAAAAATATGTGATTATATCACGGGATGGAAAAAGTGAATTAATATCGATCAAGAACTAAACTCAGTCTCCTACAGTGTGCTTGGTTTATGGTTGATATTTAGAAAGTATTTTTCTAATTCAAATATAATGAATGAGTATAGCTAGTGAAACTATATTCATTTCCAATAATTTACTAAAATGATTGTAGTAAATATGATGAACGATTAATCCAAACATTTTCCTATATAAGCTATCAGTCTCATTGTTTTATGTTATATACTCACCTGAAAGAAAAGTATACAACTACAACTGAAATAACCGTTCATTGACTTTGTTTTTTGAGCACAAACTTGGTTGTTATTTAATTGATAATGTTCACTTTTTTGTTCGATAACATTCTAAGTTACAAGGCCATATGATCCCACATAAAATGTGACTTTTGTTCAGAATAAAAAGTTATCCTGAGGGTCCTGCTTATCTTATTTATTATTGGTATACAGATTATTTACTCCAAACCGTTATTGTAAGTAATCTTATTATCTCATCTGCATTATTTCAATCTTATTAGAAGAAATCTAAACTGTTATAGCAGGTCACATAAAATTGAGTTTGTCCATAGTTAATGTGGTTAGGCTCTTTTGTTAACTTACTTCGTACAATCATAACTTATCTATACCACTGTACCTTTATTGTTGTTGCACTTGTTTGAATGTGTATGCTTGAGGATTGCTACTGCCTACGCATATATTCATTCTGCTAGCCTTACTATTAGTCATTTAATAGATTAGATGATTCATTCATTTCACTATATATATATATATATATATATATATATATATATATATATATATATACATTTTAATCCTGTTCACTCTCTCGCTTATTCGACTCTCACACTGACTTGCTTGCCCAATTGCTTTTCTGAAATACTTTTTCATACTTGCTTAAAGTACCTGTAATTTTGGTGATCTGTGCGTGGTGTAGTAATAAACCTAGTCAACACTTCGTATTCGCCTTCTAATTAATACACTTTTGGGTGTAATTTAGTGACGGCTATCAGGACGAACTGTAAGGATTACATTGAATACCGACTACAACACTTTTTCAGGCAGAATTATCATCCATGTTCTAATCAAAACACAGACAGAAATTTTTTTGTAAATAACCTTTACAGAATTTATCAGCAAACGTAACTGACTTATAGTTTGGGTTCATTCAATCGATATTTTTAGTGTAAAATATTGTAGTGAATATATAGACCTATAAGAATATCAGTGTAAATTTATATTTACTCAAGTCACTATCCTCTTTGTAACACAACCTCAGTAATTTCACTAGGAATGTATATTATTACGCATATATGATGTCTTAGTGGTAACTTAGGTCGTATATTCATTTAAATACTTAATAAAGAAACAGTGCAGCTTATCATGTTAAAATGACCTTACTGAATCAAAAATCTGTTTATTTACTTAGTAAAATGAGGTTGATCTCTGTTACTGCTCAGGATGAGCACTAATCGAAAGAGTTATATCCCTAATAGACCTGGAAATATCGTTATATTCATTTACATATAATGTCTGAGGAAATGATAGTACATTCCGAGAAACTAGAATTGAATTTATCCAAAAATTGTTTTGTATTAAATCATGTTTGTAATCAATTATTTAAGCAGAAATAAATAGTCTTTTCATTTTTTTTAAATAGGTCAATTCAACTGGTACTAAAGATTCATTAATCGAAATAAACTGGAGCGAACTATGAAGTTTTCAAATTTTTCATCTAGTAGGAAACATGAAATGTAAACGATTTCTCAAACTCGGCAATATTTATGTCTGATGAAACTTTACCGATTATTAACCTGAATGATCAAGTACTTAGATTGAATGGTTGATAAAAAACACTGGAGCAACAGTAAGACCTCAATGGTATTACTATAATAAAACGAAATAACGGAATAAAAGAAAATCTTTTCCATACTTTCAAATTGATAATGTAGTTACCTAGTTTGTTGTCCATTTATTATTATTCACATAAAGTTTCAAAGGAATTTTCAATACGTGGGAAATTTCAAAATAATAAAGGGTTAAACTGAAATGAATAAAAATAATCATCTTTAGATTGTTTTATAAATTAAAAATAAGAATTTTCTTTGATATATACAAAATAGGTATCCAGGGATTAAGTTCGATGGTTAGAAATGAATTCATAAATTAGAAACTTTACATTGTGGAGTAAAATATCCGTGTTTGATTAGGGAAATATGAAAGTAATCTGTGTGACTATACACAAAACTATACAATAGTTTTAAAGACAATAAAATATGAATATAATGTAAAGTGATTATAAATTTAAAGTATCAAAAACATATTGCATATGGATCAAATATTTTTTTATAAACGACTGAACATTTAAACTGGTTTCTAGATTTAAAGTGCTTCTAACATAATTTGAAATTTTCAACTGTTTTCTTGCAACTGGGTCTGTTATGAGATATCAACTCAGTGATGACAATGGTAGACGGTGGCACAATTTCGTGTGTTAGTTGAAGTTAGATATTAACACTGTTGGATGCCGGCTCAATGGTTAAGCACTGAAGTGCGAGAATGTGGATTGGAATCTCGCGAGGCAGGTTCAAAGATGCTCATTTCTTTCAAACCGTTTATTTAGATACTTCTCATCTATAAACTATTTGTCATTAACCATGAGAACATTATGCAAACTAAAACTTCTAGGGCTACTGCCAGCTCCAAGCCCGGATAAAAGAGGAGAGTTGAGCATGGGGTGAACGACCCCACCCCGTAGAAAACTAACTTGCCAACAAAACGCTAAAACACTAAGCAGTTTTTAGTAAAACTAATGAACTGATCATTTCGTCAGTAAACAATAGTACATTCCACATTATGTTGTCAAATTTTTATTTTTATAAACGGTATTTTACAGTCACGGATAACCCTCCCTCAAACTCAATATCTACCGTTCGGTTCTGGTTTCTTATCTAAATATGATTTTTACGTACAGTTAGGAGCTACGTTTCAGTATATAAAATATCTATATGACCCCAGCAAATAGAGGTTATTGAATATACATCTATACACTAAGTTAATAATAATATACCATAAAAAGTTAACAGCAAAAACCTTAAGTGTCTGTGTACGAGTAAGACCAAGGTTAACAGTTTAGTTATAATACAAATGGTATATTATTGAGCAATATGATAATAACAATTATTAAGGAATGAATGTTACTTGAAGGCTGCTCTCTGGGATGACAACTACAAATATATCCACTTGATTAATGTAGATTCCCCTGTGAATGATGGCACCGACGGCGTGATGAGAAAGACAGAGTCCAGTAGTATTATGTAATAGTAATCCAGGCCAAAATACCAACGTAGTGTAGGAAGGCCTAAAAGGGTATTATAACACTATTATAGTCTTCGGTCAAAGGCCGTGGACAATAAAGCAGAAGGGCAGACGACGTAGATAACGTGCTATATTTCAATCAGCGCGGTAGTAAAAGTATATTCAATTTTTCAAAACAATTATCATCGTTTTTTAAATAAGTGATGCAGAAAAACAACAGATATTGAGCAAAATATGGTTACAAAAAATCACGGAATATACGTCACCATAGACCTTTCTATGTTTAATA